CAAATTAAAACAACACTTTATTTAGATATCAAATTTAAATTTAGTTGTTATTACTCATTAATATTTTTGTAGTGATTTTATAAAGTAATTGTAGGGATCCAAACCGAACCTACCGCTAAAAACCGGGTTTTTTTTATTAAACCTAAACCGCTAAAAATTTTTTAGCTGAACCTGAACGAACCTCTAAAATGCCTCTGAACCGGTTCGAGCCTCATGATTGTATGCTTATAAAACAATATGTAAGTTATTATTAGTATATTGAAAATTTTTTAATCATATTCGAATTATTTTAAAGATTATTATCAATCAAATTTGATTGATAAGTGTCAATCATAATTTTTTATAAACTTTAGTTTATTGTTATTTCATAGCATTTTTTAAAATTTTATTATAAATTATACCTAGAGACCAATATAAATTATTTACTATAGTATTATAAATGACACATCAAAATGTAATATTATTTATTGTTAAATAAATATGAAAGGCCATCATGGAGCAAATCTTGAGCCTCACATAAAAAGAAACCACTCTAGAATTTGGATAATATTAAAAAAATCAGAACAAAAGTCTAATAAAATAAAAAAGTTTAAAAATATGGCATAACATGGAATTAAACTTGATTATAAGAGTGGATGATTCTATTGAAGGTGAATCAACGCTGGTTAATATATATTCGCTGAAGAGGATTTAGTAGAAAGTCTTCTTAAAAAAGAATGGTAACAAACAAAATCTGTTACAAAAAATCAATATTTGAAATATTTTAGTTTCTAAATAACCTAAGTTAAATAAAAATATGAATATTTTAGACTATTAGAGAAATCAGAGTAATTGATAGCCAGAATTATGTAAATTGTCTGATATCAAACTGTCAGTGCTGGCTACTCAAGTTAGCATGGAAAGATGTTTTTCAACAAATAAATTTATACTATCTCCTTTTTAATTTGAGTGAAACGAATCTTTAAAATATATTAATTGGGTAGTTCAATAAAATTTTTTTATGTAAATAAAGTTAAATATTGTTTATATTAAAATTAATCATTGGTATTTATTTGTTATATTTATAAATAAATATTATTTTATGTGTAATTGATAAAAATGAAGGTTTAATGTTTTTGTTTTTTATTTTTATGATGAAATAAAAAGATATTATTCCCTATACATAATTTGAATGTAAATTTAAATACAAAAGTGGGCAAACCGGTTTTTAGAGGTTCGAACCGAACCGATAATTTAATTACGAACCGAACCTGAACTATTATTTTTATCCGAACCTGAACCGAACCAATATTCGTTTCGGTTTGGATCCCTGGTAATTTGATAATTTTGTTATTATTATTTTGTAGTATATAAATTGATATTGTTATTTTATACGCCTTAAGTATCATTTTATATTAATATAGATTGGTTTTTTGGATATCTATATATACATATATATGAAAGTAACAAATAAAGATGACAATTATGTTCAGATGATTTGATTTAGTTTTTTTTCCTTCGATGATTTGATTTTAGTAACTTTAGTTAAATAATAAATTATAATTAAATTATACTGTTTTTGTGTTGAATTATTGATATTATTTTAATCATTTTAATTTTAAAAAAAATATCGTATTTGTAAAAAAAATATAGATTATTAGTTTTTTTTGTGGAAAATAAAATATAGGTTTTAGAAGAAGCTTTTGTTTTAAGAACTATCAGGTAATTATTTTTGGTAATAATCAAGTAATTTTGTGGAAACTAATCGTAAAAGAAGTGGTGCTTTTTATTCAACCACGAAGAAGACACTTAGGAAAAATTTAACGCAATGTTAATATAAAAATATACGATCATAAACCATTAGAAAATAAAAAAGGAAATTCGAAATAAAAGATAAATTTTGTTCTGTTAAAATTTAATGTATTGTATTTTGGTAATAATTGCATTAGCATACTTTTTATCATTTATAATTGTGAAAATATTTTTAATAAAATTATTAATTAATTTATTATAAAGTTTAATTCAGAGTTTAAAATTTTTTTAAGTAAAATAAAATTTTAAGATGCTGAATAGGAAAAATTTTAAAACATACAATTATTTTAAAATTAAAAATGTTTCTCACAATTAATTTATTTTGGAAGAGCTATAATCTTAATATTATGGGTTATAATTTATTGATTATAAGAGAAGGAATGGAAATAAAGATACAAATAGAATAAAATTATTAAAACAAATGGAAATAGAAAAAATTGAGGAGTTTTTTAAAAAAATGGAAAAATTATTTAGTGTATGGTGAAAATTGATGGGGAAAAAAATGAAATATTAAAAATACGATTTGAAAAATGAGAATTTGGGATTAATATTAATAAACCATATAGCATTCGAGATTCTAAAAAAGAAAAAGATAAAATTGATAGTATAATGAAAATAAAAAAAACGAAATAAAAAAATTGATAATGTAAAAAAGAGAGTGAAATTAAAAAAATGAAACGGGAAATGAGAGAGGAATGGGAATCTGAAAGGAAAGAGATAGAAGAAATGGAAATAAAAAAAAGAAAGAATGGAAAAAATTGAGTTAGAGAAAAAGAAATACTGCGGGTAGAAATGGCCGAAATGAAAATGAAAATAAAAGAATTGGAGAAAAAAAATGAAATAAAGGGAATAGAACAACATTATGGAAATGATAAAGGGGGAAATGGATTCAAATAGGACGGGGCAAAATGGAGCATGTTATAATTGTGGAAAATATGGCATATAAGCAGAGAATGTAATGAAATAAATAAAAGAATGTTACCGAAGATATGTAAAAGATGTGGAAATAAAGAACATAATGCAGAAGATTGTTACGTTCTGACATATAAGCTGTAAAATGAAAAACAAAAAATTGAGGTTTCGTGTGATTGGAAATTTTGGACATAATCAAGATAAATGTTATAAAAATGGACAAAGAAATTCCAAAGCATTTCCAGCTGTGGAATATATAAAATAAATGAGAGGAAAAATACATGAAAGAAACAATGTGGATGATATAACTGTTTTAAGTGCCGTAATATTGGACATTATGCGAAAATTGTACAGTAGAATGATTGTATGATGGCGAAATAAAAACATTAGGAGGGGTTACATCAAAGAATTCAGTGGATTAAATGAATAAAATTATATGTGAAAATACAATGAATGTTAATAATGAAATAAAAAATGGAGGATGAAAATAAGAATTATGGGGTTTATAAAAATATATTGGGAAATGTAATCCAAGGGAATGTACAAATATGTAATTTAGCGATTTTAACGTTGGAAGATAATAAAAATTATGATCAATGTCTAAGGGTAAAAGTAAATGTAGGAAATAAAGAAATTTCGATGTTATAGGATACAGGGGAAATAATATGTGTTATGACCAAATAAACCTATAATTAAAGATAAAATGAGGGTAAAACAATTGAATGGATCGGAAATTATGGTATTGGGGAAAGTAAATTTACCGTAGTAAATAAAGAAATTATATGTTTGGATCTTTTTGGAAGGAAAAATTGATACAGTTTTGGGATGGAATTGGATATCAAAATTTGGACTGGAAAATAATTTTTGAATATATTCCGAGGGAAAAATAAAGATAATAAAAATAATGAAATACCAAAAACATCTATAAGGTAGATATTAAGAACATGAAAAATAGATTGGTGGAAAATAAGGTTTTAGAGAATATTATAATTGAAAATATGGTAAATAATAATCAAGAAATTTTTGATAATAAGGAAAAAAAAATTGTGGAAAATAAAATGTCAAAGAGTGGGAAAATTAAAAATTTGGTAAATAATTTTGAGGAAATTCAGAAAATAAAAATTATGAGTGATAAAATGGGTCAGGAGAAGCCTGATATTTTGGGTAATAAAGATGACATAAGTATATTATATAGTCAAGGAATTGAGAAAATTCTTGATTTAGAAGTTGATAATATTTCGGTTGATCTGGATGTTGATAATATTTCGACCGAACTCGGGAATTTTATCTGAACCCGAGTTCAACAGGGTTTAGTGTATTGTTTAAAATCATATATTAAAATATTTGTATAATTGTAAATATAAATATTAATAATTCATTTGAGATTTCATAATATTTTTCCCAATAAAGTGAAGTGTTAATAAATTTAAAATTTTACATCATTTATTTTTAATTTTTAACTTATTCTCAAAGATAATTAATTAGAGGAAAATGAAAGTAAACAAGTCAAAGTAAAGATTATAATAGTGGATATTGTTAATTTAAAGAATTCTCAAAATCTAACTTAAAAATTGTTAACAAAGATGTAGGGCAGTTTTTGGAAACTTTTGTATAAATATAATAAAAAATTTATTTTTTATACCAAATTTATGTCTAGTTTTTTTATTATAATTAAAACATTTTTAAACCCGAGCTGAACTCGGAACCAAACCCGGATTCATTTCCCTGAACTGAACCCACTTATTTTTTACCTTAAACCAAACCCGGGCAAAAATTTTGCCGGGTTAGCATCTCTGCATTTAATAATATCAGTGTTGATAAGTAGCGCATTTCTTTTGTAGCATTATGGGATCCAAGGGAACCCCACCTAGACCTTAGTGTCATTTTTTTCCCTGTACCCCATGAAAAGAATAGAAATATTTCATAATCAATCTTTCTAAATTTTATTATTATAATATAACATATTTTATATTATTTTAAAGATTTGACATAATTCATTTAACTATTAGAATTTAACCTAAATGTATTATTATTTTAATTTATCTTAAAATTCAAATATAAAAAAGTAAAATTGTTAATTAAATACTCAATTAACTTAAACTTTTATAGGAATGATACTTATAAAAAAAAGGATCATATTTGAATTGAACTATCTTATGGTAGCAGAATTCCTAAATTTATTAATTTTTTCATGGGTTTATTATTTTTTCAAGATCCATTAATATTCGTAATTCTGAAGGTGCATGCCAAAATAAATAAATTATATATATTTTTTGGCATTATACATTAAATTATACCAATATTTTAGGTCGAGGTAAGATGGACCCGTGTTCGTATTCAAATCTTAATCCTTGTGGGATTGTTTCGTATTTCATCTCATTGCCGAATCCTGGGAGTGATTCGTCTATCACAGTTATACCTTTTTAAAAGATAAAAAAATTAACATTTTCGTTCATATATACTATTTATTCCTTTCCTTCCCAACTCAAATTTCCTCTAAAAAAGTATGCCATATAACCCCATTCATTGCTGGAATGAATCACATGTTCGTCATCGTTAGATGACAAATTATCTTGGACGTTCAATTTACACAAAGTTCCGGGCGAAAGTGATAGTAAATTCTGTCTTTTCACGCACCATTCATCCATGCACAAAGGGTTGGGCTTTAGGTGGGTCTGCGGGAAAAAATCGCACAGAGCGTTGTAACCTAAATACGGTGTCACCTGCCCAAAATTCAGTAATTTTCTGAAAAAATATTAATAAAATGTTCACTTTTATGAATTATAAAAAAAAAGAAAATAGAATTTTGTTTTTTTTTAAATTGATATATATATCAAGACATTAAAAGAATATAATAAATGTAAAAAGGTATATAATCTATTCGTTTATTTTTGATTCAAAAAATTTATATAAAAAGCATGCGCGTAAAAAATTCCACGATAAATAATTATTTATAAAAGGAAGCATTAAAAAGGCTTCTATAATAAAAACAAAAATTATCACTTAGATCATGTCGGGCATTGAACCATGAATAGATGAGTTTAGATTTGCATCTAGCTATGGATATTTATTGGTTAAGATAAAAGCATTTATTGGGATCTCTTACTTTTAATAAGATAAAAAAAATTTAAATTATATAGATTCAGGGCCAAAATTCCCTAAAATGTTCGTAAAGAAGGAAATAAAAACGAAATTGATTAAAATTATCTCCGCTTGAAGAGTCCGGGAGGGAATTGTTCACTGCATATATAGGCTAATTTACTGCCTTTCTTGAAGGATATGTTATGCCATCTGGCCTTTTTCTTACATAATGCTTTTATAAATATCTAGGCAAAAGGGGCTGTGAGGCAGTTGAAGTTGAACCACTCTTCCCCCAATGAAAAATATGATATGGATAAAATAAGTGAACTAATTATTTGAACGTAAACGTAATGACGCTACTAGTGCCGCCGAGAAATCTAAAATAAATCAATCACTTAAGTAAGACTTATTTGTTTGGGGCGTCGTCAACTAAATTTATAAAAATTAACAAGAAAACCTATCGATCCAGGTTTGATTGATTATTTTATTCTAATTATTGTTTGGTGAAGATTAAAATAGGATCATCAAGAAAACTTATCTTAGTTCATGTTTAATAGTTTTAAATTATGATAATTTATTTTTTGCAAAACCTACTACATTGTTAACTTTATGAATAAACTTATTCGAATATTCGTTTTAAATTAATATTAGAGATGAACCGTAATCTACCTTTTTACCACAATCAAAAAATTTTAAATTACCAGGTGGGATCTTATAAAAAATTATTAATTCTTTTATTAGAATGTCAATTAAATTCAATAAAGAAATATATTTAAATTTGTTAGTAAAATTATGTCTTCAACAATAGAACAAATATAATAAATGGGCAGTATTCTATAATTTATTTACATATAGATTTTTTTAAATAGCCGGTTCTTTTAAAAAAACAGGCCGAGTCAAAATATTCATCTCTAATTTTTACAATGAAATACTTTTGAATATTTGATTCGTTTTATTCAAATCATTCTATGATTAGAAATATAGTAGTTATATTATAACAATTTATCAAAGTAACTTCAAACAATTTTGAACTAAGAGCCCAGCTATAATGGCCATAGAAGTGGGCAGACTGGCAGCGCAGACTCCTTCCTTCTTTATAGTTTTTTCGTTTATCCGTTCAGCTACTATCAAAGGCGGCGCACACTTTAAATAAAAAAATTGCATGAATTAATAAATAAGATTGATTAGGGTTTGCGGCCCAGTATACCTATCCATTTTGACTTTCATAAAAAACAAATAATCTTATATAGCTGAATAAATATGAATGAATGCTAAGAATGATAATGGGAGGGTTTAAATGAATTGATTCTTCAGGATGCAGTGGCGTAGCCAAGATTTTCCATATGGGGGTTAAAACTTTTTTGGGGCTTCGCCCTAAGCCCTTTACCCGTCTTTCGACCGTATCCCACCTATAAAAAATTCTTATATATTATTGATCTTTCGGTGGCCTTTATATAATCTCCGTTAAAGTTCGCTGAAGAAGCCCTAATTTTAAAATATGACAATGTTTTGTGCTTTATTAGTATCTAACTTTAACCAGTATAAAGGAAAAAATTATTGGTAACAAGATTTTGGCCAACCTTAAGATTAAGTGACTGAAAGCATTTATTCTATAAATTTTATCAATGTTTCAAGCTTAATTATATATTGACTTAATCCGTTTGGTAGATATTATATAAAGAAATGAAAATTGCCAAAATAGATATCGTGCTAAAATGGAAAATATAAAAAACTACATATCTGGCGTGCACTAATATTTCATGTCTTACTAGTACTTTCAATTCCTCATGAGTACAACCACAAAAAGAAATATAAACAAAATGAAAACTATGGCGTCATGCTTTAAGCAGTGAGCCATGCTTTAATTCTGAAACTTATACTAAACCATTAAGTAGAGCTTAATTATTAATTTTATTGCTTTATTCTGTCTAATAGTTTATTTAAAGAGAAGAATTATTGATATCAAATTTAGAATCATGCCAGAACCCAGAATATAGAAGTTCTAACTATATGGTTTACGTTAATATTTAGTGCCTTATTAATTCTTTAATCAATTTCGCCAGCCATTAAAAAAGTAATAGAATTATAAACCAAAAAATAACTGTGATATAATTAGTGCGTATTTCATAATACTTAAGAGCTTCAACCCGTTTGGTGGATGGTTGAAAAAATTTTTTTTTAGCAAATAAAAAAAATCGTCAAGGAAAATTATAGAAGCAAGAACAATATGCAATGCATTATTAGTATATTCACTAGTTTATCGATCAGTTTTTTCAGCCAATAAATAAAAACTAGTAATAAGCGAAAACAAAAATTAAGGCACGTCTTATGTATAATCTTAAATATCGAATTTTAAATTAAGATTCAAAAATAACTTTCGTCTGAATATAAAAAGGTTTATCATTCTCGATTCAAGATATTTTTGAATCTTATGATTCTTTTATCTTCATAGATGTTATTTTTTTTTCAGTTTGTTTAATAAATATAGAAGTAATTTAAATCTCATTAAACAAGATAGAACGAAAATTCGAAGCACAAAATCAATTTAAAAAATTAAATAAAAGAAATATCGAAAATATGTTTTACTCATTATCATAATAAAAAATCCTATAAGCTTATGAGATTTTAAGTGATTGTAGCTTTGATATATTATTTTTATATTTAATCGGCATAAAAAAGTAGTCAAATAGACTTGTGACATATCTATGCTAAACCTTTGTTGAAATAGGTATAAATTAATAATTGTTTTTCATAATAAATTGACAAAGTAGATTTTAAAAAAGGAATATGACAAATTAGACAAGTTTCTTGCAAAATAATTAAATTAAATTTAAAAATATAAAAATAATCAAATATTGTAGATCTTATTATTTATAAATTAAAAACAAAAAATAGTTGTTTTTTATATTTTAGGCATTTTATATATTCAATTTGATAAATTAAAACTTTTAAAAAAATCCTTTATTCCATTGGGGGGGGGGGTTTATCTCCTAAACGCCCCTCCGTGCCTACGCCACTGTCAGGATGTTTATGTGGGATCACACAAACTAGGTTTGCATGACATTTGATCACTTTATATGAAGTAAGAATAAAAAAATGTATTTTTGGAAATGTCATTGCCTGAATATTGTAGTAAACTCGTTCCCTTGAAATATTTTTTACACTATAAAATCATTAAATTGATATCGATTATCCTAAAAAAATAAGAAAATTATGGGATATACTACCCCTTTTCATTAGAATCGGCCCTATTTTTATGCATTAATTATAAGTGCATCAAAAATTGTCAGCTTATGCATATAAATTTGCCCACTACGCTATGATCACCATCAAGGTTGCCAGGTCATAATTTTAAGATTGCAGGAGAAATTTGATCAAAATTTTGGTATAAATTTGAAAATTGCAAAAATATTTTTAGCAAAATGCCATTTTGGCATACCCCATTTATATCATTTTATAATATTTAACAAAGTAGGTATTGTTTTAAAAGCTTTCATTTCTACTTCTGTGAAGTAGAGTTATTTTATTTATTATACAAAGGAAAATACTTTAATCTGATAAAACGAGTTAATGTTTCTCAAATTTAATATTTAGTAATTTCAAAACGTTAAAACGCTGAAAATTTTAAAAGCGATATATTTTAAATTGAGAAAGAGATAATATCTCTGGGTGTTGATTAAACAATTGCGAAGTCTCCCGCTGGTAGTGGGAGGCCTAGGAACCCTGATTACCATATTGTTCTCCCTTGTTAATTTTTCTATTATATATTTTTAAATTAAAAATCGTCTGAAATTTTTTTTGTACTTACTATATATTATAATTTAATTAGTTTAACATCTTTTATGTATTTTCTTCATATGGGTAGAGATCATAAATCACAAGTATTCAAATTCGTGAGATCATTATTAACATATCCAAGAGAAATTCTGGCATAAAGATAGGAAATCAATTAGCCATAAGTTGATTTAACATAAATATAAAAATAATGGGGTTTTTAAGGCTATTCATAATGCAGAACGAAAATCAACTTGCCTCTTCTTTAGATAATATCGGGATAAATTTCTGTAAACTAGAATGTATCAACGAAGATTGCACTCAATCAAATATCCCTTCCATAATGTAGCAAAATGATCTTTTGAAATTTTGTTCACTTCACATCATACGATTTTATATAGACTAAGAAGTAGCCATTTTACGAAATAAAGATTATATTGGGCTTTAAAATATGTAAATTGGGCTTTAAAATATGTAAATTGGACAAAAAACAATAGTAATATAAGCTAAATAAGCCTTTCGTTAGTATAAAATAGGGTAATAAAAATAGATATAAAGCGTCCATTCCAATGGCATACAAAAAACCATTAAGTTTCCAAATACTTAATGGTATGAAGGTGCATGAGTGAAGGCTCGAGATCAGGTTTGCCTGGTATATCACCATAATTTTTTGAAAAGTGAAAATCTACCATGCTCAACTCATCTGCCACATTAAATCTCCTACAATTTAAAAATAATCATAAATAATGTTTTAAAATTATTTTATAAGTTAAATCTTTATTCGATTCTTCGTTATTTTACCCTTTTCATTTTAGGGATCTTGCAATCATTTATAGTGGCTTATTAACATCTTATCTTGATAATTAATTTTAAAAACAAGTTTTTTGAAGTCTTTTGCTCAACCGTATATCTGGTTGATTGATGCAAATGTGATCTTTAAGTTATCAATCTGGAATATTTTCGTATACTTACAAAAATCCTCATCGTTTTTTAGATTACCAAGAGATTTGATATATTGACTATTGTCAATCATCGTAACAAACTTAAGAGACAGTTAGAAAGAATCTGTAAAATAAATAGATAATTTTATTTGATATCATAAAAAATTATTCTTTCGATCTAACTATGCATTTTATCGATTTCATGTATATTTGAATGTCTCGACCCATTTCTGAAAATTTTTGCGTAATACTTCTAATTTGAAGGATGATTTACCAAATAATGTAGTAAAGCAAAAGGAAAATCTTGAAAAATTAATTTTCAAAGCAGAGGAGATATCTTTCCGCTAGGTATACTAATATCCTTTCGATGACTACACCGCACAAATCCCGGTAAAAATCTCTAAAAAAAATACCAGAACAAAGGCGCCCCGAACAAAAAGACACTGGACAAAAATACCAACAGATAAAAATCAACCGGACAAAAGTACCCTAGTTTTAGAAAAAATATTAAATGTTTAAGAAGAAATTTTTAAAATTACCCCATTTTGCATTTTAAACTCTTTCTAAAATTGGCGTCTTTTTGTCCAGGATTCTAGCGAATAATTTAGAGATCTGCAAAAGCAGGCCCGGTCCGGCCCGAACGGGCTTTGGGCCGGGTCAGGCTATTTTTTAAAAAAAATCGGGTTCGGGTTGGGTCGAACCTAATATTTTTTAAGAAAATTTGAGCCGGGTCGGGTCAGAAATTTTTTTAAATATATGTAAATTTATCAATTTTGAATTTTTTATGTAAAATATAAATATTTGATTTTATTTACAGAAACTAGACCCCACATAACATATATCGTTTATTTTAAGTAATTATAAAAATTAATTTCTATATTTAAATAAATTCGGGCCGGCAAAACTTTTTAAAAAATTTTGGATTAGGGCCAGGCCGGGTAAAACTTTTTTAAAAAAATTTTGGGCCGGGCTGGGCTTGAAAAATTAGGCCCAATGCAGATCAATATAACATATTCATTTGCTGATATTTCAATGCACTATTAGATTATAAGTTTTTGATTTTTGTTTATAAAAAAATGAGATATTTAAATTTGGCTCATATCATGGCTTATATTCTTTGTCATTATTCATTCGATGGACATTTCTTTGTTCTCTTCTAAAAGAATATTTCTTCGTTTTTTTATAAATAATTGCAAAGTTATCGGTTCGTTTTATTATATACTCTTTATGAATGTCACATTCATCATTTTAGGATGATCAAACTCAAAATTGAAATTGTACACTATATGTTTTGGTAGGCATGCAATAAAACGGATTTAGTATTTTTTTGTATCCTAATCATGTTCTGATGTAAATAATCTTTTTTTTCTTCCTTTCTTCGTTAATCTTTTTTTTTAGAATGTTTGCTTTTTTTTAGTCCGAAATAAGAAAGATTATATCTTCTTTTTTTCGAAGAAATATAAAATTGTTTGTTATATATTTAAAATTGACAGAAAGAAAATTGTTTATATACTCTCGTACTTTTGTTTCTTTATAGTTAAAATGATAAAAGTAACAAAATTTTCGCAATATCACATTTAACCCTAATTCTCTGTTTTTTACAATGCGTCGTATTGGCTAAAAAAAATGACTGTCACTCAAATCGATCCAGCTAAAAAAATTATTAGAGATAATTTTATTTTAACTTTATTTATTAACTTGTTGTCTTCGCCACCACCTTCTCCTGATCTCAATCCTATGGCGTTTATTCACGAGTGCAACAAAAATATTTATATTTAGCAGAGTAGGACGATAATTATGCAATAAAAACTATTTCGCGAAACCTATATCACGGAAACATTATAGCGAATTTAAGATCAGAGGTTAATATTGCGATAATTGTCAATAATGGCTATTTTATTTTGAAATATTTATTTTTATGATCATATTAATTGAATAATATTTTTGAAAAAATATGTACAAGATTGTTCCAATGATAGAGTTTTTAATTTTATTTTAGCCTTAATAAATTTATATAATGATTAATGAACTATTTGGTTTATAAAACTTATAATTGGAATTAAAAAAATTTGCTATCTTGCCCTATGCTTTTCCTCGAAGTCTTGTTACATAAGAATCGCGCACATTAATATATTAATCATTGAGTTCATTAGTTAAACCTTGATCCTTATTGGCGAAATTGATATCTGGGTTGCGCCAATCTATATAGTCTTAGTAGGTATTTAATATTTATAAAATTCATCAATCAGTTTTGCCAGTCAATAACCAAAAACATTATAAGCTATTGGATTGTCTTTATCGAATTTTGAATGGAGATTTAAAAATAAATTATATCCAAGTATTAGGGATTTCAATATTTTCAATCTTATGATTTCACAATTTTTATAGATATTTTTTATCTCTTGTTTACTTAGAAATATAATATTAGTTCAAAAAATTTGATAGGAACTTGAATCTAATATTAAGATGTAGTTTTAAGCATGAAGTTTGCCAAACTTTAGCGAGCACTAATTCTGAAGCTTAAGCCAATAGCTAAATTACAATACATATAGATTAGTGCTACAGCATATATTATTTTTTTCCCCTTAATTACTCATAATCAAAACTATTTAAATTATTTTTTACTGAATTCCCTAAAGATGATTTTGCTAAGTAAATATTTTAATTTTCTCAGAATTTAATTTTTCTTAGAAAATATAATATATCACTCATAATTTTTTATAATTTCTTTTATTTTTTTATTACATAACTCGGAAAATTCAATAAAAAAAATTCTAAGATTATTTAAAAAATTACATAGCAAAATCTTCTATGATTTTTAAAAATAATCTGAGATCAGCAAAAATTCTTAGCTTTCAGCATTTTTTATCTTGATTGGGGAAAATATTTGCTAAAATTTACCTTTAATAGCATAAAGCACATTTTAAAAATTTATGTTGGAAAGGGAGGGGGGGGGGTAAATTTAGGGTAAAAACTTGAATCAAAATGTCCCCTCTGTAATTACAACTATGGGTGAAAGAGATCAGAAAGAAATTGGGTAATTTATTTTCTATCACATCATATAAGGGTTGGCTTACTTAATAGACAATAAATGATAAAATATCCTTAAAATATTTCGCGTTTATGATTTAAGGAACTTTGGTGGGTAAATTGATATTGAGTATTTTGTTTTCCTTTAAATAAATGAATTCGCAATATATTTACTGTTTCGTGGTAATGCACTCACGATAATGATTTCGCACAAATACATCGCCGTAGAAATATTACTATAAAGGATTCGCGATAAAAGTTTCATTAAAATCTATTCGCGGTTATGGTTTCACAGAAATAGATCCGTGATAATAGGTTCGCGATATTGTCTTCGCTATAAATGTTTCGTCGAAAAAAATTCTAATAATTGGATTCAGAATATTACCTTTCTAAAAAATTTGTTCGTGACAATGAATTGACCTGATACGGTTAAATTTTGTATTCATTTATATTGCTATTCTATAATAATTATAATATAAGGTTTTAAATTTAAAATAAAAAAATAAGAATAGGTGGATATTAATGACGCAGGTTACTCCGATAATTTATATGATGTGCTAATGACTTACAGCAAAGCAAGCGGTAAGACCTGGCTTGATGTATTGGATATGGCCCGAGATGGCATTTTCGCTGACACCCGATTCCATCCACTCTAAGTCCAGTTCATTGCAAGCCTTTTTATAAAAGAACTAAATATTATTTTTCCTTAATATTTTTCCACTTAAATTAATTTTTTATCCTTAATGTTTTTCTACTAAATTAATTTTTATTTAGTTTACTAGTAGTATTTTATCTTTGTCTCTTTTCTAATCTTAATTTATATCTTACTTTTCCTTTTCTCTTCCATCCCCTCCCATGTTCAATTTACGGAATTGATGGTCATTCTAGCTTCGAAATTGTCTACGCAACTCAGTACTAGATCCACTCCGATCTCTATTAGTCCCTTAAATCTCTCGTAATTCTCCATGGTGGTTATGTTCATATCGTAAATTTCAATTGTCACATCAGGGTTTATATGCCTTTATAAAAATATTATGAAAAATATAATCTGTTCGAAGCCCCACCCCCCCAAATTTTTTTTTTATTAAAAAAAGGATTATAAATTAATCTTAAGCGTAAATTCATATATTTTTAAAAAAAGTAAAGGTCCATATGTTGTTGGTGTTGCACGCATTTACATTATTCCACCAACTAAATGGAAGTGTATTGAACTGATAAGACCAAATATCTTTCGAAGTCTTATATACCAACAATACATCCATAAGAAATTCTAGTTCATTATAAAAACTGAAGGAAAGAAAGAATAATTGTGCTCTCCTAGAAATAATCTAATCAGATTTCACGATTCCTAGGAATAAAGAATTAACTAACAGTAAATAGAGCACGCTTAACATTAACACCAATATATGAGTATAAGAGTGATCCAACCCTCATTTCTTATTCCAATATTTATGAATATTAAAATTATAATTGATATTATATTATAAAATAAACTACAAGCCTAATATTTAAAATTTTGATTAAGGAGATCCCCATTATTAGAGCACAATGTGTAAATGATATTCCATCCTTGATTATTCAAATTAAACCAATTTTTTTTATTGGGTAGGTTGTAAAACAAACGACAAACTTTCTTGCTCGTCAATACTCAACATTTCTACTTAAATAAAGATGTATTTCATTAATTATAAAAAAAATGGGATTTTCTATCAATTTATTTCAAATCTTAATAGTGTGCATGGTTCATTTCATTCATCTATCTACATTGAATAAATTTCCCAATAAAAAGAATTTAGAATGGAAGATAATATATCATTAATAATAAACAGAATTTTAACCGCAATGTTTCTTTAGCAGCATGTACTTTGGACATACCGGCTTGGGATGGGTTGTAAAAGAGACGATTCATATTTGCTAACTCCACCTTGTCATAGTCAAATAGTAGTAACTATGAAAAAAATATATATCATTTTTTTAATATACCATAAGGCAATTTCCAGGATACTCAAAGCGGGTTTCCTAGACATGTTTCCAGCAATTTTTTATTAATTTCTATTGTATAACATAATATTTTTTAAAAAAAACTCAGTAGTTAGTGGGTTTCTAGGAGCCAGCCATTTAATCGTTAATAAAAAATAAATCATAGTCAACTATGAAGTTTATTATATTACATCTAAAATATTTATTTGAAAAATTATTATCCATTTTGGAGATAAATAAAACATGTTGAAACAACCGTTCTGCCTGAAAATGACATAATATAATTTTTTCTTTCTTTCTTAATTTTTTACGCATTATATAAAAAAAATACGTTACCTATATTTTAAATTCATATCCATAAGAGTTAACATAATATCGTGGCTAAAGGGAGTGAACTATATGACACTTTTGGAGGAAAAATCAGATAAGACTAAGATTTGATAAACTATTTATCTCTTCATGTCTATAAAAAAATTAATGTTTTCCTACTCTTAACAATTGCAAATTATGGTGCCGAAAATATTTCAACTAAAATAATGTTTCTGCATAACATTTTCCCGCATATAAATATTTTTTTAAATTCATTAAAATTTTCTTACGTTTTTCTTAAAATAAAATTCATATCCAAATGTTAAAAATAGGGCCAAGAACCCGAACTCTTTAGATTGGACCTAGTGTTGTTAACCCTCTTGATTTGAGCCGATTTTTAAAAACGTCTTAATACAATATTTTATCCAGAAAAATATAACGCAAACCTGAAGATTTTCGTTATAAATAGTAGCGAAATCTCGAGGTAGGCAATATTTTTCTGGCTAAAATGTTGAGCGAGCCATTTTTAAAAATCGGTTCAAATCGAGTCGTTTAACAACACTAATGGACCCAAATCCTTTTTAAATTTAGAGTTTAGGGTTTCTGGAATTGTTTTTCTATTTATTTTCATTATTAAAAGCATTTGGGGGGGGGGGGGATCTTTTATAATATTTCTTGTGCAAAAAATATAAGCTAAACGTTTTTTCAAAGAATTAGGCAAACGGATTCGCGTAAAACCCGATCAGTCTAAGGACCCTTCTTACGCCCAAGGCTTGCTACCGCCATTATTCCTTCTAACTATCTAAGTTTCATCTCTTCCATTGAATTTATTCCTAGCTTTCTTATTTTTATCCCCTATCCTTTCCCGTAAATTCGGGTAATTCAATACCAAATCGATAACTTTTCTGCCCGACCTTTTTAATTTCGATAAAATTTTGTATGCTGAGAGAATATCATTTGAAAGCATCGAATCCAAAATTTTAGCTTCCTAGTACTCATAGTTCCAGAGATATCAATGATCAAAAGTGCCAAAAAAGACCTTTTTTCGAAAAATATGATTTTTTGAAACTGATATAAGTTAAAAAATAATGATTTTAAAAATATAAGTTATATGTCATTTTGTAACTCTATTAAAGGCCTTTTATTAAACATAAAAATTCCCGGTGTTTCGCTCAATTTTTTTAAATTTAATATTTTCTTATTCTCTAACCTTATATCTATTCATAAAAAAAATTTAAACTTGGGACAGCCATGCGTTTTTTAGTTATTACGATTTAAAAAATCAAAAAATAAATATTTTTTTCAAAAATAGATGGCGCTCCTTTATAAAATAACGTGTTTTGTTATAATTATTATTTTTTAAAACTTTTTTCACTTTTAAACATAAATAATAAGATTTTCCAGCATTAATATCATGAAATCAGATTATTTAGCTGCGGTTATAATCATTTTTTTTTATAAAAAATTTTAATTTTCGAAAAATTATTTTATAAATTTTAAAGATATAATAGATAAATTAAAATTCATGAAAGATATTACCTATTTTCGGTTTTTCATTAAATTTAGTTTTTTTGACGCCATGAAAATTTCGTTTTGCCATAAATTATATGTACGCCCAGTAGCCGTTGATGGGCTAACTATTGTTAAAATATTATTTTTTGGTATGAAAAGATATTTTGTGCAGCTGGATAAACAAAAGAATTTGCTTGTCCTTTAGGGCGAAGAAAATTAATTTTTACTTCATCTCTAATTACATTCACTTCTTGTAAAAATCCTAACCACCAATCGTTTTCATATGCACATGTTACATATCCTCTAATCTCATCGATTATCAGATCCTCAATCAAATATCTATTGACATTCGTTGCAGTCACCAAAATAACAGGTGGGTAACGGGGGATTGCAAATCATTCTGCCTATAACATCTCTATAAGTTGTTAATGTATCCTCAACATTTTTAGTCAATGTTTCTAATTCACAGCTTAAAATCATAAGTTTAATATTCTGATGTATGCTACAAACGCATACACTATGTGTTCCGCTAGCCCCTGCTAATATACAATTTTTTGGTTTTAAGCTAGCAAATTTCGAAAATCCAATTGTTAAGTTTGAATTACTCGCCTTAAAATGATTATATAATTCTTTCAACTTTTCAATGATAAATATGCAATCTTTTTTCCCTGATAATACCTACTAACTTTATCAATGCAAAAAAAATTTTCAAACAATATCAACTGTTTTTTGATTGAGATATTTTGCAGGCTTTCGATTTGGAGTTGAAAGACTCCCCTTTTCTTCTAAATTGATTTTGGAATTATATGCCATATGATATGTAGCGTTGAATGTCGTTTTTATTTTATTTGCGCTCCAATTAGGAGGCAGAATGGTCAGCAATTGATATTTTTTATTTTTAGATAAATTGGGATATTGTAATTTCATGTTATTGAGTATATCATTATTATCTTTCGTATCCGAATCTGGATTGTTAATTATTATATCTGTAATCGCTTTTGTTATTATTGCTGCCTTTTTTTGGATAATTTTTTTCGGTTAGTTTTTTTTTCTTAATAGGAGATATTCCTATTTCATTTAAAGTTATATTGATTTTATCTATTGATGTTGATGCTGTTATTTACATATTCACTATCAGAATTTATATTTTTGATATTTTCTTGTGATAACCTTTTACCGCATTTATCACAAATATAATGTTCAGCCTCAATGTTTGGATATTGTGACATCCACGTCATGACTTTGCGCAGGTTGTTTTTATAATTAAAGTGTTTAGATTCTTTTAAAAGGATTTACGCATTTATATTTATATATTATAAATAATTTTAAGAAGAAAAATAATTAATATCAAAATATTTGTAAAATAAAAATTAATCAATATTAGGGCAGGACCATGAAAACTAGCTTTTATCTTTCAACAATTAATTATTATATTTTCTTGTATGAGATATCGGAATCTTAACTATCTTTTTAGGTAATTTAATCATTTATTATAAAAACTAATTTTTACAAGTTATCAATATAGCAATAATAAGTAGTGATCTGCATCGAGCCTAATTTTTCAAGCCCGGCTCGGTCCAAATTTTTTTTTAAAAAAATTTAATCCGAATTTATATAAATATAGAAATTAATTTTTATAATTACTCAAAATAAAAGATATATGTTATATGTCGTTTAGTTTCAATAAATAAAATCAAATATTTTTATTGATTTTTTTTTCAAAATATTAGCCCGACCCGAACTTGATTATTTAAATAGAATTGTGCCCAAAGCCCGTCCGGGCCTAACTTTGCAAATCTCTAATAATAAGTAAGCCTATCAAACGATCTATATAATATTTTTTCCTGATAGTAATGCTGGAAAATCTTATTATTTATGTTAAGTGAAAAAAGTTTTAAAAAATAATAATTATAACAAAACACGTTATTTTATAAAGGAGCGCCATCTATTTTTGGGAAAAATATTTATTTTTTGATTTTTTAAATCGTAATAACTAAAAAATCCATGGCTGTCCCAAGTTTAAATTTTTTTCATGAATAGATATAAGGTTAGAGAATAAGAAAATATTAAATTCAAAAAAATTTGGAAAGCGAAACACCTGGAATTTTTATGTTTAAAATTTATAACGTAAATAAAAACCGCAACAATATTATTTCAAAAAATCTTTAATATTTAATAAAAGGCCTTAAATAGAGTTACAAAATGACATATAACTTATATTTTTAAAATCATAACTTATCTCAATTTCAAAAAATCGTATTTTTCGAAAAAAGGTCATTTTTGACACTTTTGACTATTGATATCTCTGGAACTATGAGCACTAGGAAGCTAAAATGTTGGATTCGATGCTTTCAAATGATATTCTTTCAGCATACAAAATTTTATCGAAATTAAAAAGGTCGGGCCGAAAAGTTATCGATTTAGTATGGAATTACCCATTTCTACATTTTTCACCTTTATTTATTTTGCTTTTTAAAAAAATTAATTATTTTCTACTACATTTTGACAACATATCATATCAGATAAAGTAACCCATGACTGGAAAAAAAAATTTAATTTTTACCACCATCATTTTGTAAAATTTGTCGATTATAAATTATATATGTTGTTGGTTAGATTATTAAATGAGAAAAAATAACGGGATCATCAAGGTAATATAGTGTTATTAAATGCAAGTTGCAGTGCCCTGCCAATAGGTAGGCTAGAGGCATCCCATTTTTCAAAGATGGAATTTTTTTTACAATTCACAATTGCAAAAAATAAATTATTTAAGTGTAATTTTAAAAAAGTGAATATCTTATAAAATAAAATTAATACTAACTTTTGAAAATAAGTATCATTTATTCATATATTTTTTTATAATATATTATCGCGCTTATGGAAGGATAAATTACTGAGAAGGAGAAAAATCGAAGGTAAAATAGTAGGCGACCATTTTCAAAAATGGGCTTTTTAAGTACTACTTGCCATTTTATAGTAAAAAATTATTTAGAAGGAAAGGGCGAGGAATGACCTAGATGTCCAAGATTATCATCCTTGGGACGCGTCTCGTCCAGATATCTCGTCTAAAAATTAAACGGGAAGATACGGACATTTAATCATCATAAAATCTATATTTCAATTTAAACATCTGTATTGTTTTAGTTTTAAGGACAGATCCTAGGTAATATTTTCTTCAAAAGAGCGATTGACTGGTGTTAAGCTTTTTAAGATGTATGGCCATGATTTTTAAAGTGCACCTATCAATTTATAATTATATAAATTATAACTATACAGTCACCCAAACATTCAAAAATTGTAAGAATGCAAATTAAATGAATAATATACTAAATATAAAGCTCTTGTTAAAAATATTTATGTCTTTTCTTTTCGGTATTCCAACTCCTGAAACTGATTATGGGATTTTCATTAAACCTGAACTCAAACCATTTTTTAGAACGAGGGTTCGCAGCAATGTATAGCTGATTTAAAAAGGTACTACAGCTTTTATATTTTAAATGTAGAAAAGCTATTTAAGTAGCTACTTTAAAAACCTATATCTAGCTATGAGTATAATAAATATTAGTTATATTTTGTATTTGCTTTTAAGTTTTTATTTAGCAAATAACATATTTTTTCACCAAAAACATTTTTGCTAGACTAAATAATCTCTCAAAAGGAGAACTGGGTAGAATAGGGGTATTATATTTTATGAAGAATAGTTTTAAAAGAGGGAAATCTTTAAATATTGCGAGATATGATATAGATGATTTCAAAAATTTGTTATACAATCAATATTAGTTGTTTTATTTTTATCATCTTTATCGGAAATATCATCAAAAAATTTGAGAACACGAGATGTTTACGTTTTATTAGGTGATTTTTTTAAAAAATTTGACTAAAGATGATGAAATATATGCTCAATTATTGTGTTCATCTCTAGTTTCAATCACGTCAAATTTCCTATAGTAAATAAGCAAAATATTATTAAAATCAATTAAAAATTTCTGGAACTTATTCGTATCTCAAGCTCTCTACCTTTGTTTTGTCTTTTCCTAAATAAAATATCTAAATTAAATCGATATATATTTATGATTCCGATAATGAATAAGATGTCATCTTCCAAAATTTAAATAAATGAATGAAAGAAGCGAAAGGATTTGAATAAATTATATTTTTTTAAATATATTATTTTATTTATTCAAATTATAAATTAAATTATAAAAATTATATATATATATGTAAATTCAGCATTTTAAAATATTAATTAAATTTTTTTTAAAGTAGCTAAATAAGTGGATATTTTTTTTAGCTATAGCTACTCGAAATATAAAACGGCTCTATATAACGTTGCTTTTTCTTTCTTAATAGATACTTTAACAACATTGGTTCGCAGCCCTGTTTAAAAAATAAACAACTCCTTGTTTTTAGAAAAAAAAAATAGTATGCCAATCCTGTTAAGAATAAATAGAAGCAACTTATTTTTTAAAATAAAATATATGTGGTCTTAATTTGTGATTGAGAATTGAGATAATTGTAATCTTTAGTTTTTAATTTTTATTTTAGGCTGCATCCAAAAAGTTGTGAAAACATCCTTAAAATTTTGAAATTTCCTCAAATTAATAACAAATTAAGTTTTAAAAAAATAAAAATTAACATATTCAAAATGCTTGATGTGATTTAATTATTAATTAAAAGATATGTAAATATTTGATTGTATTTATTATTTTATATCACCTTTCAGTTATTTAACTTTGTATGAACCTATTATTTGATAATGGTTATCAAAATTTTATTTATATACTTAATAAATACATATATGTTGTAAATAATTATATCAATATTGAATAAACAGTTGTAAAACCCATAATAACTTTTATTTTGAAAAATAATTTATCCATAAAATATATAAAAATTATTATATTTGAGTTATATAATAAAATTGTAATAGAAATAAAATAATATCTTTTAAAAGTAGGAATAGGAATATTTTTATTAATAACTTTCATTTTTTTGTTGGCATTATCTTGATCTAGCTATTATTCAATAATAAATATCAAATAATAGTATTAAATGTACAGAAATTATAGTATCATAAAAAGAATCAATAGACATATTTTGCCCAATATTTATATCATTAAGTGAGTTAGCAATTTCATTAAGGTATGATGCAGCCTAATAAAATATATTTGGTAATATCATCAATATTTTCTTTTAACCATATATAATGTTCAACATATTCCTTTTAAATTAAATTATAATTTTTATTTTTACCAGATTTTATTGGGTGAAAGAATATAATTTATTTAGCCTTTTCATCTAAAAATTTCTTTTTCACTAGATCATTTCAAGTTATGTTTTTCCTATTATTTCCTCCCAAATTTTCCTATTTTCTACAGAATCTCTGAATTTTAAGTCATTTTTCACCAGAGGTTCTTGTGCACTCTTATGCTTTCCATAAAATTATATTCTGACACTAAAAAATATATTAATATAAAAGGCTATAATTGTTTGGTGAAGTAAATTAATAAAAATTAACAGCATTAAAAATTGTACTCACTAATTTTTTTATAAAAATTTCACAAATAAGTACATTTTTATTCGATTATAAATACCGAAAAATGAAATTGGACACCATTTTTACATTAAAAATAGCTTATATTATTTTTTTCTTCAAAATTTATTTATTTATATTTTTATGATTTTGGATGCAGCCTTAAAAAAAGATTTCATTAAATTCTACACGAAAGCATTAGGAATTAAGGATAGAGTGAATAATAATCCAATTTAAAAAAATATCCATTCGAATTTAATTTCCATTATAGTGACAACCTTGAATGCGATAATCAAACATTAAAGAAGCATCACAAAAAATTGGATTTAAATATAAGAAAAGGAGGAAATACAAGAAATAATATGTATTTCTTTATTTTTTCATATATAACTTATAATTATTGGTCCCTTGATATATGTAATATTGAGGCTCTATTGTCTGAAGTGTAATTATATGATTCTGAAAATACAACATATCAGATTAATAATAAAATATGTCTATCCTAGTCTAGTTGACACTTATTAAAAAAGAAATTATTTATATTAGACCTGGAGACCTATAATAAGCAATCAGACCCATATAATAGGGGTAAAGAATGAAAAAAATATCACCCTAATGCAGGAATGGACAAATAAATTTCCACATAAGATTTAATAAAGTAAATTATCGGTTAAAAAACTTATGTATCTTTAGACATAATATGTCCTTAATATTTAGGATTACACTATGAATTGAATGAAATATAATCAAAACGAGCAGATTTTAATCATTTGAGCATATTCTTGTCGTTTTGAAAAAAAATCAAAATGACAGTCAGGATTAGTGTTGTTAAATGGCTCGTTTTGAGCCGAATTTTAAAAACGGCTAACTCAATATTTTATCCAGAATACTATTACGCAAGCCTAAATATTTTGTTTGTAGAAGGAACAAAGGTTTAGACATCTATTAGCAAAATCTCGAGACTTAGGCAATATTTTTCTGGCTAAAATATTGAGTTAGCCGTTTTTAAAAATCGGCTCAAAACGAGCCGTTTAACAACACTAGTCAGGATAGAAAATGAAAAAAATTAACACACCCTGGCAAAGCTGAGTTTGTAACTGGATAGTTTTGCAGGATTCTGATTCATATATGGTTTAATTTTGACATTATGATTAGAGATTACAATGCTAACCCTGACGGTCTGAAATTGTTTTAATAGAGGCCTGGCAAAATGTGGGGATTTTTTTTTTCCATTATATATTTGATGAATTCTGATATTTCATAGAAGTAATAATCCAAAAAGTATAGTGTTCTAAATGTAAACACTCCCCAAGATTATAAATAGTTGTTTATTTTGGTCATCAATAATATACATTTTGGTTTAGGCCTTGTAATTAAAAAATTTTAAACCTAGCTAGGCAACTTTAGTGAAAAATATACAACTGAGCCTAGCCTGGCAAACATTTATCTAGGCTGGGTTGTGCAAAAACCAAATTTTCACCCTACTGAGTCTGACCTGAGAATTGGCCATTTACAGACCTCCTAATTATGATATCTAATTTATATATTATCTTATATTTATATAAAAAAGTTTTAAAAAAAAATAAGAAAATTGATACCAATACTCAGTTTTGAATTTACTTTTTTTATGATCAAAAAAACAAAATTGTCTGACATTATAAACAATAATAATCAGAATAAATATTAATCAGCACAGGTAGAGTCAGCCTATGAAAATATTTGTTTTCGACTCCATAATTATTTTTGTCCAGCTGGTAAAATATATTTTGTGAAATTGTTTGATGGGCTGTTAATAATTTTAGTAAAATAACATAAATTTGTCTAATTATTAATTATAAAAAAAATCCAAAACTTTGACTGGGCCTGTAAAATATTTAATATAATTTGTCCAGCCCAGCCAAAAATTTTTTACCCAGCATGCAGGCCCATCTGTTGAGCTGTGTAGTTCTCTAATAAGTATAAAAACTTTATGAAATTTGTATGATTAGTTTTTCATTTATTTTTAACTACAAATTCAATTATCTCAATTTAAAAAATTGTCTAGAAGATAGTTCGACAAAACTCAAGTGGAAAATAAAAATTAGATATAGTTTTAAATTATCATTTTATTTTACTTTGCCAATCCCACATCTTGTCAACATTTCAGCTGCAACACTACCCACACCTCCAACACCAACTATTGCAACTGAAAAATTTTGTATATCCTAAAAGAAATATATTTTATCAAAAAAAAAGCAAGATTATATTAGTAATATTGTCTATAAATATTTTACAACAAAAATAATATGCATTAGAGGGAAACCCTTTTCCTGTTAAATCAGTAGGCTATATAGCAAATTATATTAAAATAAAAATATCATCAATCAATTCCAGCTATAAAATATCAGATTCGAATTAACCTGGTCAGGATTTAAATAAATATTTTTTTAGTAAACCTCATAATTTTTTACAATTCCCATCCTTTTGAGAGCCATTAAGCGGCTAAAATAAAAATAAATATTGTTAGAATAAAATATGATAAAATACCTGTAGGGATTAGAATCCACTACCACAGAACTCATTATAACTTTCGAGCTCATAATGCGTGAAATGTGGAATAATTTTGGATGGTTGAGTAATTATCAATGTTTTCTGCCTGGTACTAAACAATATTTGGCGGGCCAATATAATAGGTATATAGTGTATAGACGCATAGCCATAAATTTTATAAGAATTTAGAAATAATTTTTTTGGAACAATAGAAATTTATTAAAACTAATCCTAGTTAAGTTTATTAGATCTAATTATCATATAAAATTTATTAGAACCACAGTTATACATTTACTCAAAATAAAATGGATCGTAAAATTTGAAGATATTTTATTTTTAAAATTTTTGAGCAAATATATTCAAAGATCGAAGTAAAATTTAAAGATCTTTCATTTTTTAATCTTTAAATTTTAAATTTCTGAAAGGGATCTTCAAATATCTAGATCCTTGAAGATTTTTTATTTAAAAATATTTTTAATCAACGATCTTCAAAGATCTTTATATTTTAAAATGTTAAAGTAAATTATTATTTTTATGATATTTTTTTGAAGTAAATGGGTTAGTAAGCATGTTATATTTAAATAAATATTCAATGAAGATGTATCATAAATAAGTGACAATTGTCATAATCGTTATTTTTGAACTTTTTTTGAAACAAATGGTAAAATTAATATTATTAAAAAAATGTTAAATTAAAATTTCAATGAATATGTAATGTAGCAGAGAAAGGTGACAATTGTCATAATAGTTATTTTTTAACTTTTTTGAGTTCTTGTGACTCAAATAAGTTAAAATTTATATCACTAAGATGTAAAATTAAAATTTCAATAAAGATTTACCATAGAAAAGTGACAATTGTCATAATCGTTAAAATTTAACTTTTTTTAAATTTTTTGACACATAAGGGTAAAGATATTTATTGTAAACATGTTAAATTAAATTTCAATAAAAGTGTATCATAGTAAATTGACATTTGTCATAATCGTTATTATTTAAAGGTTAAAATCTATATTAATAAGATGTATAATTAAAGTTTTAATAAAGATGTACAATAGAAAAGTAACAATTTTCATAATCATTATTTAAATTTTTTAAATTATTTTGGTGCAAAAGGGTTAAGATATTTATTTTAAACATGGTAAATTAAAATTACATTAAAGATGTACCATAGAAAAGTGACAATTGTTATAATGTTATTATTTAACTTTTTTGAAATATTTTAGATATAATATAGAAAAATGACAATTGTCATATGTAATAACTTTTACTCAAATTTCAAACACCTCTTTTGTATCTCTCCTTTTATCATTCAACCCACATATACATTATTAGTTCAATCCTTTCACGATTCCCCCTATTCCACCCCAATAAGACCCGCAATTACTCCCCAATTACCTCCCATATTTCTTCCTAAAGATTCCCCTTTTTTGATTTTACCTTAAAATCGCCCCCCCCCCTCTCCCCTATTTCTCCCCTAAAATTCTCCCCGCTCACAAATAAAGATTTTTTAATTCATTTATATCCAAAAAAATAAATAATTCTCTACTTCTTTTATTATAAATTTCTACACAATAGTCAATATAGGTCATATACCCCAATAAGGTAATTTAATTAATTTATCTTTCATTTCGAAAATCATATTTTAGATATTTGCCCACATATTTTGAAATAATTTCATTCATATTATAAATTAAAACATCATCTTTCACATCTCCTTATATTTAACCCCAAATTCGTTTATTTTTTTAAAAAAATTATCCAACACATTATTATATTCTACTCTATTAAATAAAAATACATTCCAAATTAATTAATTTTTCTCATCAAAAATTATTTCTTTTATTAATCATTTAAATTCTCTTTTATTCCTTCACGTTTTTATTTCAAAATTAAGGGAAATATTATTCACTTTCGGAGCTACATTAGTTTTTACACTCATTAATTTAAAATTCTTGTCTAGTTAATTTTGGTTCCTACACAGATTAATTCACCTTAACGCAACACCGACACAATTCTAAAACTAAAAGTAATAAATTTTCAACTCCAAATTTTATTGTCCAACAAAATGTAAACAAAAAAATATAAAAATACAAAAAATTGTTATAATTATAAAATCTCGTGCCTTTTATACCTTTTTGGTACAAAGAAATCACTAGTTCTAGACGTGATATATAAAATCAGGCGAATATTTGTAAATAAGATAAATATTAAATAAAATATTTTTTAAAAATAAATATATTTTACAATAATAATTTAACAATTATGTTATGATCATGGTGTTTTTTTTAAGGAAAATGAAATTAAAAAAATAAGGAAGGAGAGGAAAAGCGATGATTAGGCAAAAAAATAACTTTTTAAAAAAATAAAAAATATTATTTATATAATTTTTTATATAAAAATCTTTCATTATCTTTATTATTAAATGCGTTGAGTCTGATGAGGGATTTCTTAAAAATTTTAATGATGAAAAAATTCATACAACTTAGCTTATATAGTATGGTCATAAATTATATAAAATTCCCTCTTTTTATTTGTTATCAGACAAAATATTGTAAATTTAAGATCTGGGGGTTCAATAAAGATGGAATTAAATATCTTGATTTTTAAATTTCTTTTTTTGGCCATAATACATGATATTAATTTATATAAAATTTTTAAAAACATGATTTTAAAAAAAGAAATTTATTCATTGCAAAGGTGGGAGTATGCAAACCCCATTCATTTTAAAAATTATTTTTTAGTAGTTTAACATTTTTAGATAAGTATGTGTGTAAAATTAATTTTGATATTTTTCAGTAGCTCAAGAGTTATAAGGTTTTTTTGGCTTAAAGTTACATAGACACCACCTGGTCATCCGTGTAACTTTTTTTCTTGGCATTGTTATATATAGCATAAAATATACACTTTTTTAATATATATTTTTTTTATTAATAAAAATTTCTAACGTTCCTTATTTTTTTTCAATTCATTTTCCTTAATAAAATTAAAAAAATATAATTATAATTTTAATTTTATTTCTTCGACAAATATATTTAGATTTTTCCTTTATTAAATATCGCCGAAATGTAGAACAATATTACCTTTAAGTTTGGAATAAAAAAGTAAAAAAAAAAGAAATAATTTTTGATGAGAAAAAAGAATTAATTTGGAAAGTATTTTTGGTTAATTGAGTAGAATATGATAGTGTGGATAATTTTTTTTTAAAATGAGTTGAAGAATATCTAAAATATGATTTTCAAAATGAAAGAAAAATTAATTTAAAAGTTGATTTATGAGACTATTAAAGTAAAATTTTTATTAGCTTAAAATGATATTTATAAAAACAGTCATATCTAAAAATTTTAGTGTATAAATAAAGAGATATGACATATATTGATTATTGTGTAGAAATTTATAATATAAGAAGTGGGGAATTATTTATTTTTTTTCTATTTAAATGAAATAAAAAATCTGTATTTGTGAGCGGGGGAAATTTTAAAGAATAAATGGTGGAATATTCTAAGGGAGAAATGGGGAGGGTGGGGGGTGGGTGGGGATTAGGGAAAAATAAAAAATCTGGGAATTCATTGGGGACTTAATGGGGAATAATGGGGGGGGGGGGGGGGTGAGGTCATTGGGGAGAAATCGGTAGAATCGGAGAAGGGTTGAACTGAAATATGTATATGTGGATTGAATTTTAAAAGGAGAGATACAAAATAGATATTTGAAATTTGCATAAAATTTAAATATATTGGTATGAATGTTTAAAGAAGTGTGAGTTGAATTTTAAAAGGAAAAGATAATTTATTCGATATTAATTTTAAACTATTTCCTTAACTTTACAATAAAGATCCATAATTACAACTGCAATTCGCGACTCGAGTTGGTAGAGTAAAATAAAAAATATACAATATTTTCAGATTAGAAAAAACCAGATCGACCCATTTGAATAAGTTGTCTGGCTTATTTTTTTCAACCAAAAACCTACCAAAAATATGATAATCCGACCCAACAAAGAATTCCCATAAATATATTTTATAAATTTTGACTTGTGACTTAAATTTGACCTTTGCCTTATTGTCCGGATAGGCATGTCATTCTATGTCGTTGTAAATTGTAAAAGCACAACTTTTACTTAACAATAAATAACACACAAAATATAGAAGTTAGAAGCCATCGTTTTTTAATATTTTGTTATCTAATAATAAAGCCATCAAAAATTTAAGAAACATCTGTGCCACTATTTTTTTCTTAAAAAAATTAGATTGGGACGTTAATTTTTTAAAATTAGATTGGGACGCTAATTTTTTAAAATTTGATGGCTTAGCTCCGTTCTGACAACAATTATTTTTAATAATTTTGAAATAATCAATCATTGTCAAAATTTCTATATTATATCTTTGTTTAAATTTTATAAAAGTTTTAAAATATTACATATGAAAATTGTTAGTTTTCTATGTGATATCTAAATATTTCAAAAAATTTTAAAATAAGAATTATGACAATTGTAACTTTTTTATGGTACATCTATATTGAAATTTTAATTTATGTTAATAATATAAATTTAAACCTATTTGCGTCAAAAAATTTAAAAATTGTCACTTTTATATTGTTCATCTTCATTGAAATTTTAATTTAACAAGTTTACTATATATAATTTTGTCAAAAAAATTTAAAAGTTAAATAATAACGATTATGACAATTCTCACTTTTCTATGGTACATCTTTATTGGAATTTTAATTTAACATGTTTACAATAAAAATCTTAACCCTTTTATGTCAAAATAATTTTAAAAAGTTTAATGTCACTTTTCTATGGTACACCTTTATCGAAATTTTAATTTTACATCTTTAATAATATTAATTTAACCTATTTGCGTCAAAAAAAATCAAAAAAGTTAAAAAATAACGATTATGATAATTGTAACTTATTTATGATACATATTTATTAAAATTTTTATTTTAAATCATAATAAAAATTTTAACCTGTTTGAAAAAATAAAAAAGTTAGATAAAAACGATTATGATATTTGTCACTTTTCTATAGTACAGCTTTATTGAAATTTTAATTTCATATCTTAATAATATAAATTTGTACCGCAAAAAATCAAAAAAAGTTAAAAAATA